TATGGAACAGAAATAATACACCTGGTCAATGATTAATTCTATTTTGCTGTTAATTCTCAGCGTTAAGCTTCTGTTAATGAAACTCAACACTTCCTGCAGATGTTTCACAGCAAAAGTCTTCCAGGGAACAGAAGGGATTATGTTTCCGGAGCCACTGAAGGTCTAGAAATGTGAAACAGATGGAGGAGGTGCTGGGCTTGCGCTGACTGCAAATAGCGGCACCGGCAAATTAACACAGAAAACGAGAGCGGATCAGATACGTCTGAGCCAATATAAACGGATATAAAGCAGGCGAAGCGGGGATTTGAAAGGAGGTGCATTCGAAAATACAATGCAAAAGTCTACGAAAATTTGAGAATCCACTGCTTTAAAGAGACAACAACTGAAAATCAGACTGACTTCTGCAAAACTATGAGAAATTCAGCGCCTCAAATCCCACAACGGTCCCCGCGGGGTTAAACGCGCCCTTGGTTCTGAGGTTTTGAGTGTTTCACATTAACACGGCCTTGTTAAAGTTTTTGTCCTCTCAAGGTCACAGCTGCCGTTTCCTGCCTCGCATGACATGCATCCTCCAGCGAGACAGACGATTATAAAAACCGAGAGATTAATGTCTGACTTCACACTTTGATGCAGGAGGCTGTGGGGGGAACCGAGCAGCGCGACACCCCAGCAGCAGATCTGCCCGCCGCCATTCTCCACTGCAGCTGGAATCCCAACTATGTCTGCTGTAACTCGGCCCAGAGAAAGCCAACAAAGGCTTTTCAAAGGGAAACAGGGGAGAGAAAGGAGACGGAGAGCAGGAGAGGTGAGACAAATGAGGAGGCACAGAGATGATGAGGACGCCAGCAGCAGGAAGGATGAGGGGAAACGGGGAAAGTACAGCAGAGTACAGTGGGCGGGTGAGAAGTGATGAAAAAGAGGGTTGACAGAAAGAAGGAGGTGAATGAGATGATAGAGGGAAGTGGAAAAATAGAAGACGAGGCTTAAAAGAACTGTAGTGAAATCTGGAGTGGCAGCTGAATATCATTCTCAGTGAATCTCATTTTCTACGGGAATAGTGTTTTTTCTATGAGGATATCTGACTTACGTGACAAAGAAGATGATCGAAGTCTTACATTTGAGAAGCTGGAGCCACTACATGTCCAATATTTTTGCTTGAAAGCTTAGTCAAGCAATTAATCTAACAACAGATTATGTTTCTGTTGCAGCTCTTGTCCAATCAGATGAATAAAATGAGCACAAAAGCCAGCAAAGGAACAAATAATGTTTAAGAAAAATGTATTTATGCATGACATTATGGATGCTCGACGATCATTAAACTCTGATCAGTGATTTGTTAAATGTGGAAAAGTGGGAAGCTCCTTAGTTTTTCTTCAAAATGGCCTCCTTCTTAATGACCTTTCATAAATTTTCTTATGATTCATCAGGTCCCCTGCTGTTATCAGCCAAACCTCACAAGCACACAGGAGATCTAAACAGTATAAAAACAACAGAAAATCCTCGATTGAACATTAAAATTGTATGCGACTTTCTCTAGATTCAACACAAAACGCTGCCAGATGGTCATCTAACCTCAGAATATTCTATTAGAGCAACAAAGGCTTCACAAAGCACAATACAGGGACAATGTAGACTCCATATGGTAGTATAAAAATACTACAGGATGAAATGAAGCATTCAGCAGTCGTCCAGGGCAGCACTGTCCCCTCTCAAACATAAAACTCGGTCACATCGGTCGGGTTCTTGTGTGCACGTGAGGTGCTGAAAAGCTGATTCTGTCCTTCGTATATGATCCTACACAGTTAATACATTCAGTATTAACTGATCCTTAATCAGTGATTTGCAGGTTTAACTCGTCTGCATGTTGCCTGCAGATGTATATGTTGGCAGGTGATGGTAGATCCACTGGTGTGAAGTCATTCAGAAAGATTTACCGACATGCACAGATCTGTCTCCATATTCAACAAACTGAAGGACATGTGCAACCGCATTCTTTTCATAACCACCACCATAATACTCCACACTTTCTTCAGCCGAATTAGCAAACGCTCTAATGTTTAACCGATTTTTAGAGTTAAGGTTGAGTTGCACGCCTATGCAATGTAAAACGGTGCAGGTTAAGCATTTAATGTGCTGGAAACTGAAACAGCCTGTAGAGGACGAAGCGACCGGTTGACCGAACAGACCAGCAAGCCAGAACTGGCAGAGAATTCGAGTGGACAGTTGTCACTCTTGACAAAAATTTAATGGGCGCCTTCTTGCCGAGCGGGAAAACTAATTGGTCTGACAGCACGGCCGAGGCAATCTAATTGGCTGGGTAATGTCAGTCACAAGAGGGCGGAGGAGGGGATGAGGATGAGGAGGAGGAGGAGGGGGACACGGTGCCATCTGGGTGTCTGTCAGCAAACCGTTAGATAATCCTGGGGTCTCTTGCCTCTCTCTGCGCTCTCCCATGCTGTCCTGATGACAACTGCTGCCAGCCGGTCTGCCACGTCTCTCGCTTAGAGCTGGAGAGAGACGTTCACACGGCAACGCTGAAGCTTAAGCTGCAACAGCTGATGGCAGCAATAAAAATATTAAAAAAGGTCAAGTTTCTTCAGCTGGAAGTGAGAGAAGATATGAATGATATAAATATTAGCAGTGTTTTGTACACACGTAGCGCTTCATCTATGAATATTTTTCTTTCAAATGCAGTAGCTATAATGTTTTTTCCTACTGGCTGGAGGCAGCAGAGCCTTTTTTCCATCAATCACAACTTACGTTCACTACAATATATCTCAAACTGTCAGAACAGAGGAGGTGAGGAGAAAACAAAACGTGAGAGCGAGAGTGTTCGTAGGAGCCCAAGAACCAGAGCGCTGTTAATTATCTCCTACGGTTCTTCAAAGAAGTCAGAAAACTCACCTGTGGTTTCTAAGCTACTTTTAATGAGAGAGGGAGGTGAAGGAGGCATTACTGAGCACTGAGCATGTTGCTTACAGCTACAGTTGTTTCATCTTTGTGTGGAATAAACCCACGTTAGGTTTAAATAAAACAACACCGTCATCCAGTAGCTGAGAATTTGAATGCAAACGCCGCAACATACATTCAAGCTCATGATACGTCAGCGGCAGACAAAGAGCAGCCTCACCGACACAAGGTCTGACCAGTACTGTAGGCCTTTTGTGTGGGAGTGTGGCTGGACGAGATGACTAGCAACAGCTGCCTCAGTCCAAAACCAAATGCACAGGAAAAAAAATAAATAACGGCCACACATACACACATACGCCCACGCAAGAAACAGAAGCCCTGCAGAAAAAAAGAAAAAAAAAAGCACATAAACATAAACTAACAGAGCTGGCTGTGACGGGCAAATCTCAGACATCCTGTCAGGCGATCGCTAAGCCAGTTCTTTTTTTCTTCTCAACCAGCCATGCACAATTCCCATCCAGCTCTTGGTCAAACATGTTGAGCTGAGAAGCTGCCATGTCTTATCTTTGCATATTTTCCCATTCATGTCAAAGGGTTTTAATCTTAAGTTTTTGGCTAATAATGTTCCATCTATTTTCACCTCATGGCCTTCCGGTTGCTTTCCACAGTTCAATGTCCCCCCTCGAGGGGAAAACGCTCTAAAAATACTGCTGACTTTCTCACTGTTTTATAAAGGAGGCCATGTGTGGAAGAGGAAAAGTCCAACTGAACCTCTAACAGGCTCCCTGTCTGCTTTGGTGGCTCTGAGTGTGTAGAAACAGCCCGAAGGAGAAGGATGTAAACAAGCATTGGGTGTAGGAGGTTGTTTAAACCTGAGGATAGGCAGCTTAGTGGCCTGATAGGTCGAGGACGGTGGAAGAAGGCCGAGCAGGGAGCAGAGGACGCCATCCAGAGACAGGAAGCAGCCAGTCTGGTTAATCAGCTCCTCATGCAACCCAGCTACAGCTTAATCCCGCTGAAACTACATTCACACTGAGGGAAGAAAGATTGGTGTGGCTTCTGCCAATCTGACCTTTTCTGGACATTAGATGTGAGGTGACGCAAGACTTTGTCCTGTGAAAGCGCAACACATTATCTCATGAGAAGTGAAAATCAATTCCAGTGGGAGCAGGCTTGCTTGAATGCTCCTCAGACAGGCATGCAGCGGGATAAATGCTGACAGTGTCGAGTGCAGCATTAGCGGAAAATATGAAAAATTGTCCTCGTAGCGGGAAGTAGCAGCCTGGAGCCAGACAAAGGAATGGAAAGCTGTCTCCTGTCATGCTATATATATATATTTCTATGAGAAGGTGGCTGGAAAGACACACAGATTTGACATCTCTGTTTCCTCCTGCCTCACCATCACAGATCCACCACAGCATCCACTTCCCTTTTTAATTGGATAAAAACAAACAAATGTGCATCTGTGCCGGCCTGCTGCGCTGCTGTGTAATCTACATCCGGATTCTACGCCGCTACCAGTGTTCCTCTGCCTTAAGCCTCCTATTTCAGGTTTAATCTACAGCACAGCAGGAAACGTGAGCACTGCAGCTTCCAGGGGCGGGGTGGGTGTCTTCCAGTCGGCTGCAGATGACAGCGTTGGGTGGGCGCGATTGGAAGTTGTGGATGCTGCAGTGCATCAAGGACGCTCGCAGGCAATCTGACAATAAGTGTCCTGCAAAAGATTTCTGACAGGGCAAACCCATCACCGCCCCCAATACAAGGTCCCTTTGTGTGTAGCCTACATTCAGTTCAGCAGACAAGAGCTGGACAGAGGCTGCAGTTGCTTCATTTGCTCATGTGAGGGGATGACCCCACTAAAAGCCCCAGGGTGTGTATCACTGTAACCCTCCTCCACGCTGTACATTGAGCAAACTGCACATATAATAAATCATCCTGCTATGGAAAATGGCCACTTTATTGTGCGCACATGCATCTGGTTTGAGGTTTGCATGCCCTCATTTGGATAATCCTGTGCCCACTGTGGAGGCCAGTGCAGGAGACAGATGGATCAATGTGGAATATTTCTCAATCTGTGTCAAATTACTCACATCTCGAGCATGATCTCGTTCAGGTAAATCCCATCCACTAGCTCAATATATTCCGATAATTTGGTGCCATCGGTCACTGTCGGCTGCCCGACTGTCTTCACCTGAGAACAGATCAGCAGAAAACGCAAACAGGCGTTAAACTAATCGATAAAAGAAGAATGCATGAGGTGATTAATTAGTGCAGCTTAACACACATTTGAATGGTTAATTAGGGGGCTTACCCAGCACACCAGAGGCGTGAGCAGAAACTGCTCCAGCAAAGGGGTGAAAACCTCGCTTTCCATATTTTCCTGGCGCCGTTTATTTGTAGGAGAAAGAAAAGATGCGAAGGAATATGTGTTTGTTTAGTCTCCACTCATGTAGTTAATTCAATTAAATCGACGCTCATTTTGGCTAAAGGCCACTGAAAGACGTCTTGGAGTGGAAGGAGAGGGGGGAAAAAAGGAAAAAAAACGTTAATCCACAACCTTCTCGACGCGACCCAGCTGTTTCAGATGCCAACGACGGGGCTTGGCTTCCTCATGAGGAGGACAAGGAATCACATTTTTTGGTTAAAACCCCTCACAGCTAAAGATGTTTTCAAATTTGGCCTCCACCGGTTTGGATATTTATCTACAAAAATGCCAAACTACAAGACCGGTGCCAGGTTTGGCTTTTACGCATTTGGAGCGCTAATGGCACAATGAGAATAATCCTCCGACGCCGCTAAATAAAAGGAACCATCCAGTGCAGAAGGAGAGAAATCCCAATGTTTAAGGTCCTGGTTTACTCCTCATATTCATTGCAAAGTCATTTCAGCTCCTCTTCCCTCGTCTGGCTCCGTTCAAACGCAGCTCTCCACTGAGCGCAGGAGTTGAGAGGATGACTGGAGGACACATAGCACCGCCTCCCTCCTGCTTCTCCTGTGCATCTCCCTCCGCCTCTTCGCCTCCAAAAGAAAAGTAGGGCAGTGATCAAAGCAGCTCTTAATGCTACGGTTTCCTCTCACTCTTAGTGTTATTTTTTTAGAAAACATTTAGAAAACATCTAGAGGAGCTGAAATATATGAAGATCAGCTTTGAGGGTGAAAAAGGTTTTTAATAGAATAAGTTTGTGTGCATCTCTACTGTTGTCATTTCTAACTATGCAGTGGCACCTTTAGGTTTTTTTTTGCTCATTTCATTCATTGACAGGTAGGAATGATGGTGATCCATGCGTTTTCTTTGTCTGCATTTACAGCATGCAGCACATCACAGGCAGCAAGGCAAGTAGGCTGCTGACACCTGGTGGGTAATGTACAGACAGAACACTGTAAATGTACAGTGAGGGAGGTGAAACCATCACTGTCACAGAATCAGACACATGCATTGTCACATTCAGGCTGTTGCTCGTAAATATTCTCATTATCAGTTCATCTATGGTTATTTGTTTTGTCGTTCTTGAAGATTTTGCTGGTTAGTTTTAAATCTCTACATGGTTTGGCTTCGCTCTTCGGCTCAGATCAGAACGTCAAATGTTGGTAAAAGTTCCACAATCCAGATTTAAAACTAAAAACTAGAGAAAAACTAACTCTAAAAGCTTTTTTAAAAAACAACCTAAACAGATTTGGGTACTATTTTATAATGTGTTATTGATTCAAAGGTTTTATTGTCTTTTTTGATATTTTATTGTAAAGCACCTTTTAATTATGGGTTTAAAAGTGTATTATCATTATTTTTGTTGCTGTTGTTTGTGGTATTAGTATTAGTATTTGGTATATTTAGTGTATAAAACTTGAAATGTCTTCTTTTGTTTGACCAGTAGATCCAAGTAAGATGATCACATCTCTGACATCCGTGCTTGAAAAAATGACCTCAGAAGGTCAACTGATTATCAAAACAGATGCAAATGATTAACTGTTGTTGCTCTGTGGGATCATTTGTGACACACAGAGTATTCTGTTGAGATCAAATGATTATCTCGGGCAACAGTTCAACTAAACAGACATTACATATTGCAACTGCTTTGACAATCTATTAAAATTTTGAGGATACTTTCAAGCAAAAATGCCAAAAGTTCCAGTTTCTCCAATGTGAAGATTTGCTGCTTTTCTCTGTTTCATATCAGGAAACTACAATATTGACCTTTTTCTGTTTCCTGAAATTTGATTATATGCTTCAAATACTGTATGTTAAATCAAACTTAATTCAAAACTTGAGCTTTTGAGTCAGTGTGATACATGCAGCTACTGGGCATCTGAAATAAAAAAGCAGACAGGATTTCTTTAAGCTGTTTTCGCAGAAAGGTAAATCCTGAAAGTCTAGACCAGCTTTCTTTCACCGCGGCAGACACCTAATCAACAATTGATGAATGGCTCTGACGGTGTGAACAGAGACCGAAGGCTCCGTGACCAAATAACCAATTAAAACACAATCACTGATGTGGGAACTGGGGACCCTTCGTCACCTCTCAGGAACCACGTTGGAATGAATCGTACTGTGTTTCACCTTAAAACTTTTAATGAGCACATTACAGCAAAGCCTCCCGGATCAGCAGAGCTTCTCATTTGCATTTAGAGTAACGGTCGCTGTTGCTGGTGGAGGTTGTGCAGCTCGAGATCCTCGCTGGGCCTGTTGTGTCTTGTTTCCTGCAAAACGTGTTTGTGTGGAGGGATGTGAGCCAAGCGAGAGCACATCAGGTGTTTACAGCAGCCAGTGTAGCTTCTTAAATATTCAACTTGGGCCAAAATATCCCACAAAAAAGCAGATTTTCACTAATTATCTGTCACCTATGTCGAAGTATACACCTTTTTTTGGGCTCTGCTTTCAACAGATGGGTACAAAAGATGCTTATTAGATCTAGCATCAAGAAAAAACTTAGTAAAAGTCACAAATATTTAAAGATATTGAACCCAACAGTTAGTGTGGACTGCAAATGAGCCACTGGGAGACTTTTTATCCAACAAATGTGCACAGAGGTCAACCATAATAGTTGTTTTTGTACATGTCCCACTGCATCCTAACTCTTGCATAATGAAGTGCTAATGCATTCAAATACCTGTTTTGTATTGATAAGTATTTAAAGCATCTGAAAATGTAGTTTAAAATCATTAAGTGACATTTTCTGAGCAGCAGTTGCAGCAAATTACAAAATAAAGCACAAGAAAAACTTTGTAGGTGAAAGAAAGTATTAAAAATCATCACTTTATGTGTTTCTCCAGATGATTAATCACAAACGTCCTCTTCTGCAATAATTAACATAAAAGTCTTGGAAAAGCACACTTGGGAAAAACCTTAAACAAATGAATCCGTTTAAACGGGACTCTGTGGGTGTGTGTGGTTTTGATTAACGGCGGTCTGGCAAGCAAACAGCTCCACATTCAAATGGGGATCAGCTGACTTTAAACCAATCAGAAGAGCATTTATTTGAACAAATACAGGAAATCTCTCATGTAAAAGAACCAAAACCGGCAGAAAACGTTCATGTGGAGTGAGAAAATAGGCTCAGTTTCTATTATCTTGTCTTAATTGTGCAGAATAAAAAGGGGGGAATTTGCTCCGGAGTCTACGCAAATCAAATCTTTTCAAATCAAATCTAGTCATTTTCCGAGGCAACCCACACACATCTCCGCTAACACCGTCACCTCAGCAGACGATTACACACTGACGCAGATAATGAAAACCTTTCACGGCTCGTGCGGGGCCTGCTTACCCACACAGCCGCCTGAACGCAATTATTCTCTGCTCAATTACTGTGGAGGATCGGATAGATATTCTGTGTAGCTCGGCGAGTTTGTGCTTTTATTTGCATAAGTGCGGGATTCATTAACCTTGAATTGATCGTGAGGCTCTCCGAGGTTCATCAAAGTCTATTATTCATGATGCTTTTAGGAAGTTTGGTCACATCCAACTCCACCTGATGACTCAGCGAGTGTGCCGAGCCACAGCAGCATTCCTTAAACACACTCAGCTCCGACGGCAGGCCAAACTAACCAGTGGAAACCCACCGACCAGCTCTGCAGCGCCCGGGTGCACATGGAAATTCTCCCTCCAGTTGGTTCTGATCCAGCCAAGGGGTTGAAAACACCAACAAATTATGCAGCAGCACTGCTCTCCCTCTCGCTCTCTATCGGCTGCAGTTTCCTGTTAGTTATTTCACAGGAATTTACAAGTCGCCACAAACATTTTGATTCAGAGCTGTGCCGATCTCATGCGGCCTTGACTGCAGGGTGGGCTGACTAACGCTGGATAGAATTCCTCTCTCTTCAAGTAACGTATAACCTGTAATGACCTCCCCTTATGAGGTAAAAAGAGCGATACTACAGGAGCAAAAAGATGAGTGTTAAATCCTTGTATAATGGTACACACACACCTCAAATTAAATCAAGTTTATTCATGTGGAACATTTAAAAACAACCAAAGTACATGTAAACAGTCAGACAACAAAAACTACGACCAAAAAGCAGCTTCTTTTCATTGCTATTCCAAAGATTTGGAGCGTCTACTGCAAAAGGTCAGCCTCTCTTACTCACCACCATCAATTGTGGAGCAGCAGCAGTGGCTTCAAAACAAATAAGAGGAGCTTGAAATCAATTCTGTACTTAACAAGTAGCCAATACAGGGATGCAAGTAGAGAGCTAATGTTTTTGGTACCAGTTAGGATCTTGCACAAGCTGCAGACAAGTCAGTGAGGAGTGTCTGATACCAGATAAAGTAAAAATAGTAGTCCAGCCTTGAGGAGATGAATCAGTGACTACAGTCGTCATGTCATTCCAATACAGGATGGAAATCACTTCATGATAATTTCATCTCAAATCATCTAATTTTTAAAGACATTTCTGCTCAACAATCTCTAATGTGCCAGCTTTTTTTCTAACATAAAATATGGATACCTATTAAGATACCTGCAAAACTTTTAGCTTGATACATGAAATATTTTCCAAGACAACATTTCTTTTTAAAAAATTGCCTGTTGGCCCACTTTTAGAACATTAAAATATAAACCTATGTATGAATGACAATATCGCAGGAACTATTGAAGATTAAAGCCTAGAATTTTGTGTCTCTGCTTCAGAATTTGCCTTCAAGCACTTCTTCCAATAACTATGTGAAGTAGGCAAGGTAACAATTCCCTCTGTTTCTCCAGCCTACAAAGAGGGGTTCGAAAATGAAAAATATACCCATATTAGAAAAAGTAGATATTTTCTTAGCTATACCTGAGAACCATTTAGAAACTCCAGAACTCACAGCAATATTTTTGTTTTTGTGGTAAAACTTACCTGCTTAATCGATTATGGTCATTTTGGTGATCAAGTATTTCTTATTAAACGTATTCTATATGTTGTGTTTTGCAATATTGTGTCACACAATTACATATGGTTCAGAAAATATCACTAGTTTTAATTTCTGCATGATCATTTTTTTTGTTTATTTGCTCTCAAAGATATGATTTTTCATGACAGCTTCTTTTTTGAAAAAATCTTTAATAGTTCCTGAAAAACTGTCATTCAAAAACAACCTTCCCCAGTGACGATTAAGCAGTGTATAGATAATGGATGGATAGATGGATGGATGGATGGATGGATGGATGGATGGATGGATGGATGGATGGATGGGAAAATAGCCTTGAATTTTAATATGTGATTCAACGTACTGGGGACCAAACACAATCATCTTTGTCTTATTATGATTGAGTTGAAGGCAGTATTTATCCATTCAGCACTTTACCTCCTGCAGGAAGATTAAAATAGGGGAAATCATTTGGATTTAGTGTCAGGTATATGTGAATGTCATCAGTGTAACAGTGGAGTGATCTTTACAGAAGATGGAGGCTAAAAGGAGCACATACAGGGAAAAATGTACTAAATTAAAAGGTGAAAAACATTAAAGTACAAAGATGAGAATTTGTCCTGATCCTGCAGAGTGTTTAACAAGCCCAAGATGTCTCCTTGGTGGACTAAGGTGGCTTTTTAAAACTGTGTAGGATAAAAGAAGGTGTTCTGGATGTAAATGTAAATGCACCATCAGCAGCATGACAATAACATGTCATCATGGAAACCAGAGCACAAAAAGCACAGACTGAGATAATCAAACACTACTGCTGCTGCCTTTCTAGAGTGACAGTACATAAAGGTCAGACTGATCTTCACAGCGGAGATCACTCCGACCATCCACTCTGTCACCGTTTGTCTCCATCCCGTCACGTTGCCACTGGAAATCAATGCCAAACACTCAAATCTCCAGTTCAAATTACCAAGACCCCTGTGGCATCAAGCCCAACTGCACAACATTACAGGATTACAAATATGTGTGTGTGACAAGCTTTTGCCTCCTGCACATCTGTAATAAAATGCTGATGCATCCCTTAACTCAGAGGGATTAAGTCTGTGTTTTATTCCATACATACATAGAGGTACACTACCATTTTCTTTACATTCCACCTTTAATGAATCTCATTTGAGATGGAAAACGCTGTGCTTTTTACTCTCCGACAATAATTTCACAGCTACAGTTATTCAGCTGTGACAACCGTATACTGTATAATGCATTTTAAAAACAGATTAAACTACGCAACTGTGGAGGATTAATAATTGAATGTACTGTCAGACATTCTGATTTGGAGTTTTGGACAAAAATAAAAAAGCATTGGTAAGGTATTAATTAGGGTTCTGAGAAATAGCATTTGATTGGTGATGGCATTTTGCAGTGTTGTTTGCACTCAATAATCAATTGAATGAATAATTAAGAAAGCAATCAGCAGATTATTAGTTCCTGCTCTTAATAGAACAGTAAAAAAATGCTCAAATTCATCTTCTCCAACAGTAAAATGCTGTTTACACATTAAAGCATGGGATAATAACAATATTATCTTATAATTTATTATAGAATTACTCTAACAGAGGCTATTTTTTAGTATTAGTACTTTTACATTTACATTTTCCTGATTGTACTTTTACTCGAGTAATGTTTTTAAATCTGGACTTTACTTGTAATCGAGTATTTATATCGTATGAGTGTGTTTTATTTCAGTAATGGATGTGAATCTCTGCCATCACCATACTGTACTTTTCTACCATGCTGCCCAAGCAACAAGCTCCTCCAAGAGCTACAATTATGCTCGACTTTGTTCTGAGATGGTGGAACCTCACGTGGAACCGTGCCATGTGCCATAATGTAATTATCACGCTTGTGACAAAGAAAATCACGCCTTACCAGTTCAAGCTGCCAAAAGCTGTCTGTACTGTGGTTCCTTCAAGCTTATGCATGTCCATATCAGTCAGATCGATTACTGCCAGCAAGACAGATGTTTTTAACCACAGAAAAATAATGAAAGCAATGCAATTACTGCACCGCTGATGATTGCGTTTTGGAAACCCAACGCTGCCATCTTTTCTGTGTGATGAATCTAAAGGCGTAGCAATAAATATGCATTACAGTTTTCCACATGAGAGAAGGCTGTTCAGCGAGGCTGTCACTGGCTGTTTGGGATGAGAGATAATCTCCCTTTAAATCATAACCACGTCCATGTCTGGTTGCCAAGGACCCAGAAAACCTCAGTTCTCGCGTGTGTGTCTGTGTGTGCACTGATCAGTACGGAGCTAATGCGGGCTGTTTTCACCTAAAATCATAAAACCACTTGAACCTCTTGAGTTCTGAAGTGCTGGAGGCACACACACACACACACACACACACACACACACACACACACACGTACGCTCACACAGTAACAAAAAGAAAAAGCCTGTCTGCATTCTTATCACTTCATACATTATCTATGAAGGCTTATTGCTACAGCCGTGGCGACGTTCCTGCCAAGTTTTAGTTTGAACATCGTACATCCACAAGCAAAGAAATTCAGCCTAGTAGCGTTTAAGCTGTACACCTCATCAACTGCCACCATTGATCAGTCAAACTGTATCGATGTCTTCTCTCCAAATCCTTTCAAGGGTCACAAAGGTCTCTGCAATGACTGACTAATGATGGTTTAAGGATGGATTGATATATAGATTGACAGTTGACAGATGACCAACTTCTCTGTTGGTCGATGGACATTTACATTTGCCACATTCTCCAAAAAGTAAAGAAAAAAAAACAGCAAAAAACAACACAGCATCCTCCACTGAGCTGTTTATGATCCTTGTAGTCCACCACAGAACACTGACTGGTCCATTACACACTGATAGTCCACGGCTCTGCTTGGTGTTAATGAGATCTCAGTGTGTTCTGAAGCCATGGAAACAAGATAATGGTGGCAGAAACCTTGGTAATAATGTGAATGTGTGCTCGTGTGTTTTACTGTGTTTTAGTGTGTGTGTGTGTGCTCGTGTGAAATCCTGATACTCTCCCCTTCAATTAGCTGCTGTGTGTGCATGTGTTTGTGTGCGAGTATGTGTACGCGTGAAAGTAATCCGGGGAGTGTTAGAAATGCTGTTAATACTCATCTGTTGCCATAACAACTGCAGCAGCCCCACTGTTAGCGAGTTGACTTAATAACTGACTGGAGGGCTGTCTGCTGGTAAACTAACTTCCAGGCCGACTGTCTGATGTGCAGGCAAGGTCACTGATTCACCGACTGATTTACTGAAGGAGAAGTGAACTGACTGTTTGACGCAGCTTTTCAGCAACGTTTCACATTTCCAGGAACAATCATTGTCAGTTATTGCTCAGCTTGAGTAATGGCAACTTGTGACTACATGCAGGAGACACAGAAGCATATTTTTTCACCTGCTGTGAAATATGCTTAAAGGAGTCTTGATGTTTCTGTGATGTATGTATCGACAATTATCAAAACGTGGCCTGTGGCTGATTGAGCCAAACAAAATATCAGCTCAAATTATTTAAAAATATCTTATTTCTGCAGTCATTTGCATGAATTTCAAAGGGCAGTGGTCCATCAGCTTATTTAGTGCAGTGTATTATTCGAGAAGGGTTTTCTTTATAATACTGACACCTAGTGGTAAAGATGTCAAATTGCATAATTTACAAATGCAGCAAAACTGTTGATTCCAGCCCGAGACTTGTGTTTTTTAAAAAGTAGATAGACATATACACATTTTATTTGTAATATTTGGAAAGTAGCCAATATTTCACATTTTGTACAACAACTCCTGAGAATAATAGAATAATCTTTGCTAAATTTTTTAAAAGAAGACACGTTTATTTGAAAAAACAAAATGACGCAAGTAAAAATTGTCTTTAAATCAAGCAAATTTAAGAAAAACAAAACAAACAAACTAACAAACAAAAAATAACCAATTGAAGAAGCAAACTGTTTATTAACCGTTTCAGTCACTATTCAAACAAAAATGGAGAAAAAAATGTCAAATATCTGTAGATTTCATCATGTTAAAGAGAAGATGTGATGCTATTTCTTTCATGCATCATTACGAAATAAATATTGAGGATTTTTAGCAAATGCAAATTATTTGAACACACTGCTTTATTTCTAAATGTGGTAAAAGAATTCAATAAATAGAATAAAAATAAATTGTTGAAGCGAATTTCAACGGTGAATATACACTGTTGAAATTATTTAGTAAACAAATTAGGATATAAACAGGTAGAAGTGTTACAACACTGTTATTTTTTGCTCATTAAAATCCACCACATGGGTGAATGATTTGTCAAATAACGCGGAACTCTTGGGTACTGGATGGTCGGACGTTTTTGCCGCAACACACTCACCTTGGCTGATCCAATCAGAAGACGCGCGCTTCTCAACGTCATCACGTACATGTGACGAACTGTCATGGCAGCCCCCACGCGTAGATCGGAACTGTAGCTTCACTGACTGTCCGCGGGTGTTTTTTTTAATCGTTTTGTTTTGCTGTTGGCGTTAGATATGAGGTATTTGCTCCATCTGGGCCGCTCGTTCGGCCGCCTTCACGTCCGCTTGTGTCACCAGAGTGTTTACAGCAGCCACGCAAACCCGTGCAGCGTTGGAGTGGACCTTGGAGAGAAGTGAGTTGACTTTCGCAGCTTCCATTGACTGTGGACGACATGATGTTCGCTTATCATGTCTTCTGTGCCGGCTTTCAAAATAAACGTATTTCTTTGATATCTGCACTTTTACTCGTGTTGTTTTTAACAGGAGCTGCATCAGACAGCTGCTGCCAACACAACACAGTACAGAGAGGAACCCACAGTGTTTCATAACTGTCATTCTCATGTGTTGATGTTTTGTTCTTGTAGGAAGCTTGAAATCTCTTCAGGGAAGTTTGCCAGATTCGCTGATGGATCTGCTGTTGTACAGGTAGAGAAAAAAAACCCTAAATGTTCCAGCAAAGAGATGCTCATTATCCTATTTAACCACATTTTCTTCTTATTTTTTGCACTTTATTAACATTAAGGTTTTGTTTTGCTTGTATGTATGATTTTTTTCCCCCATTGTTCCTTCAGTTCAATATTTATAAGCATTTATTACACATGATTCTCCCTTTTTTTCAGGTTAAAGTTTATTTTTGATTTTCTTTAACAATAGTAATGGTATTGTATATTTTAGGGTGAAACAAAGGCTGCACAATATTCTTAAAATATTCTGATGACTTTCCCATTTAACTGTATTTTTCACATTCAACTTCTTGCGAAGGTTTCTATTCCATCCTGCTCCCAATACTTTTTGTATTGTCGTATTTTATTTAGACTTTTATTATTATTATTTTGAAGCTCGTAAATATATTCTCAAAGTGTTTTTTATGTGTGTTTTTGTGGTATGTAAACTGCTGCCACAACATTGCTATTTCTATTATGTTCTTTATCTAGCAGTCTATTTTAATGCAGAACCTTCACTGAGGTTTATATTGTCTGAGCTGTTATGCCCAGCTGGTAATCTCGCCCTAGTCTAATAGGGCTTGTGTAAATTAAAGCTGTTTTTGTGGTTTTCACTGACAACATATGTGAAGGCTTAATGAATTATATAAAGAAGAATGAAAAGATGAAAGTTTCTGCTGTAGGGATAAATGCTAACCTCCCCTGTCTTTCTCTCTGTCTATAGCTGGGAGAAACCTCTGTCATGGTGACCGCTGTGAGCAAAATCAAGCCCTCCCCATCTCAGTTCATGCCGCTTGTGGTATGTTCTCTAACATGGCAGCAAAAATCCAACCTGTCTTTGTGTTTTTGAACATGAATGTGTATCATGCAGAATAATTCTTCTCTAGTTTAGGTGGATTTGCTAGAAGATTGTAGGTCAGGTGATGTGGGACAATATTCCTGGCTTGTATAGTGAATGAATATCCGCTTTGATCACCAGGTGGACTACAGACAGAAAGCAGCTGCTGCAGGTCGAATCCCCACCAACTATCTGAGGCGAGAGATGGGCACCACCGACAACGAGATCCTCACCAGCAGACTCATTGGTGAGTCGATAAGGAAGCGTCTTGTTGAATGAGCATCTTTGATCTGTGTCCTGATATTATTCTGTGAGTGCCTGTAATTGAATACTTTGACTAACTCTCTCGTGTTTCCGTTGCTCAGACCGCTCGATTCGACCTCTTTTCCCTCCTGGTTACTTTTACGACACTCAGGTCAGTTCAATTTGAAATCGTTTTCACCACAGTGTGCTAAGTGCCACTAAGTTAACTGTCTCCAATCGTTTCTCCTGAAGATCCTGTGTAACCTGTTGGCAGTTGATGGTGTCAATGATCCAGATGTGCTGGCTATTAACGCAGGTGAGCTTAAATCTCAGCTGCCCATGTTTCCGGCAGAACATATTCTTTTGACATCCTTTGCTAAAAACATTATTTTCTTTCCTTCAAGCTTCTGCTGCTCTGGCCTTGTCTGACATCCCCTGGAATGGACCCATAGGTGAGGATCAAACAACAGATTTAGCCCAGTTCACATATTTTCATTTGCTAGCCTCCTAAATTCAGATTTTTCGCTGTTTGTTCAGTTTCAGTTTGTAGGATTTCCCAGCTTTGGACTCATTGTGTTTTTGTGTGTTTCCAGGCGCTGTGCGTGTGGGGATGGTAAATGGAGAGCTGCTGGTCAACCCCACCAGAGCACAGATGGCTTTCAGCACTCTTAACCTGATTGTGGCCGGAGCTCCCAGCAGTAACGTGGGTGAGTTAGCAGCCGCTGAGACACTCCCAGCAGAAGGTGTTCACATCTGCTTACAGTTGTGTTGCTTGGTTTATGTTTCAAACCAAACATTACATTAAATACTACTTTACCTGACTTTAATACATGTTAAAGGTGAGCTCCTGCAGTGTTAATTACTGTGGAGAAAAACCTAAATAATGTAATAATATAGCTAAGACCCTACAGTATGAAATGAAACTTAAACTAGCTAATATAAATATTGTGACCAAGGCCCCACAACACTACTAATTATGGAGATTAACCTGACTAATTTAGAGTTTTGACTGTACAAAAATATATGTGAAACTTAACAAATCAAAGCATTCACTGGATCTGCTTCAGTTTAAATCTAATGTGGGATGATCAGCTAGGTAGAGGAAATCTGTCACACTCACATGCAGTGTCACTCAATTATCTGCAGACATCATCCGGTCAGCATTTGCAGTTTTCAGCATCACAGGTTAATATTCAGCTCTTGGTCTGCCCGCCTCATCCTTGATTCTGTGTCTGCCAGTGATGATCGAGGCGTCGGCTGAGAACGTCCTGCAGCAGGACTTCTGCCACGCGGTGAAGGTGGGAGTCAAACACACCCAGCAGATCATTCTGGCCATCCAGAAGCTGATGAGAGAGCAGAAGGTCACCAAGCGAACCCCACTCAAGACGTTCTCCGCTCCGACTGACGTGGTGGAACATGTCCGCAAGTAAGACAAGAGACTAAACTGTCTTCTGTAGTTTAAAAGTAATGAATGTGGAATATGGGAAGCAATAAGATACTGCATTTGGAGACTATTACCAGAATAAATGGTTTCAGGGTTAATGGGTTTACATCTAGTGTCTCAACAACTAGACGAACTGAACTGAGGGACTGAGTGTTTTTGCTTATTTTTTTTCATTGCAGATTCGCTTCTGAGAGCATCCATGCTGTTTTCACTGACTACACTCATGATAAGGTAAAGTCTAAGTTATATGTGTTTCTCAGCTTTCTCTTGGCACTTCATGTGATCGTTTTCAATCCATCTCGTTAAGTATTTAGATTTATGCTTGAATACAGTTTAACTTAAATTCAAAGCAGCCACAACCACTGATGCGTCTCAAAGATAAGAGGATGTTTATGTATCGTAATATCGTCTTAGATTTCAAGAGATGAAGCTATCAACAAAATTCGACTAGAAACTGAAGAAAGCCTAAAAGGTAGGTCAACCGTCACATGAATTTCCCTTCATCTAATCATGTATTCAATCTGCTAAACAATATCAAATGATGTCTTCCATGTGCAGAGCGATTCCCTCAGGCTGAACCCTTTGACATCACTGAGTCCTTCAACACTGTGAGCAAAGAAATCTTCCGCAATTTAGTGCTTAATGAGTACAGGAGGTAAGCGCCATCTCTGCTGAATGTATGTTCTCAACATGCACCAGTTGGGTTTGTGTATCATGCAAACGTCGTCTGTTTTCTTGTGTGTGTTTAGGTGCGATGGGAGGGAGTTGACCGCGTTAAGGGACATTTCTTGCAACATAGACCTCTTCAAGCCGCTCCATGGCTCGGCTCTGTTTCAGAGAGGACAAACACAGGTGAGCAAAGAACAACAGGACACAAAAATCCAACTTTAACTGGAGAAATAAGTTGTGTTAAAAATGAATGCCACTTGTGGTCGTTTTCCACAGTTCTTATAAGATAAAACATTGCTGATGAATGCATCAGCAGTTGACCTAAATTCCTTTGATTCTGTCGTCAAGATTCATTATTGTAGAGTAAAGAGGCCATTATAGTGTTTTACTTTGCTTCCTTTAGGTGCTGTGCAGCATCACATTCGATTCCCTGGAGTCCAGTATCAAAACAGATATTATCACTACAGCTTTGAGGTAAAATTAACCCTCGTTTCCTCACACAAAAGCACATTCTGTTGTTGTTTTTTCAGGGGCGGCACCCATTAATCATCATCACTTTAAATGTGCCGTCAAGTGCTGTATCTTGGCCGGATGTCAAGTTAGACCTTCAAACAAGAATAAAAAATAAAAAAACAAGAAGATAATTTTGAGTACAACAAATATTACTTACATTATTAGGAGAGTTAAAACTATATTTTTAATACTCTCTGTTATATTTTCTGCTCTGTTATCTATATATTATCCTCTTTAACCCGTTCTGATGCTCATTTTCTTTCTGCAGTGGCATCAAAGACAAAAACTTCATGCTTCACTATGAGGTGAGAAAAATCTTGCTTTTAACTTTTAAATATATAGAAACAATTGTGTTTATGTATTCTGTGTTTTAGGTTGTTGTGTTGAACTTAAGCTCAGCCTTGTTTTTAAATTTCAGTTCCCTCCATATGCAACCAATGAGACTGGAAAGACAGGAGGCCTCAACAGGAGGGAGCTGGGACATGGTTTGTTCACATTTTACATCACCTACACGTATTTAGTGTCTCCCAACCGCACTTTGCCCTCAAGGATCTTTTATTTATTGTTCGTTTACCTGCAGGCGCTCTGGCTGAGAAGGCTCTGAGACCAGTCATTCCTAAAGAATTCCCCTTCACTATCAGAGTCACCGCTGAGGTGCTGGAGTCAAACGGTGAGTGCAGGGATGCAGGTTTTAAAGTGTGAAAACTGGAAATTTAACCGGTTGTCTCTCTACAGTGTTACAATATCTGATGTCCTTTTGCCCTTTTTTTTTTTCTACATCTGCTTACCAGGATCGTCCTCAATGGCTTCAGCATGTGGAGGCAGCCTTGCTCTTATGGATGCAGGTAACAGAGCGGGAGTTCTCAACATTATAAAGGGAAGAAGTAGCAACGACAATTAAAGCACTCAATTCTATTTAAAAGAAAAAGAAAATTTTCAAAAGTAGGTTGCATTGAAAGTAAATAAAATCATTTGCTGTGTAATTTCACATGTTATAAAACCATACAATCATTAGTGTGTTTAACAGCTGCTATTCATCACCAGTATTGGTATTAAAAATAATGAAGCTAGGATCCATTTTACAAATCAAATTGTAAGTAAACTTACAAAGGATATTTTTAAGTCAACGCAAATATACACAACTATTGCTTTGACAGGATGGGATTGCAGTTTCTTCTCACATTTTGATATGTGATATAATAATATTTAACTAATGCGTCCACATCTGTGTTTGCAGGCGTGCCCATCTCCTCTGCAGTGGCAGGCGTCGCCATCGGCCTCATCTCCAAGGCGAACCCAGACAACCCTGCTGACCTAGAAGACTACAGATTACTGACTGATATTCTGGTACAAACAATACAACTGGTGGATAATTTATTAGTAACAAGTGGAACAACGAGTCAAGTTGAACCATCGAAATGTTATAGCTGATGTACCTGCTTAGTAAAAATGTTGAATATGAGCTAATGGTTGTTTTACGAACAGGGAATAGAGGATTACCTTGGAGACATGGACTTCAAACTGGCAGGAACGAACAAGGGCATCACTGCTTTACAGGTACTGTGTTTGATTATTCATCGCGAGTGTCTAAATTAACCTTTTTGGTTCCTTTCATAGCTGAAAATTGAAAGAAAACTAAACAAATATACCTGAAAAGACATGTTTTCATAGAAATAGTTCATATAATTGGGTTTTAGTGTAACTTTCTTTTATTTTGGTGTTGTTTAAAGCATCAAAGTAGAGACTGGGGTAGATTGAAAGCTTTGATTTGTTTTTTAATAGAGGAAATATTTGATCATGCATGAAAAAATATATTGTTTAGCTTAGAAGACTGTGTGTTGACCAGATTGCTAAAATGTCTAAATTTTAATAGTAAATCATTAACCTCTCAATGCTAATTCTAGTTTCTTTCTTCTTCTTTACCTCCAGGCTGATGTGAAGATTCCAGGGCTGCCTCTCAGGGTGGTAATGGAGGCCATCCAGCAGGCCACAGGTAGCCCCCAAACCTAACATTTGACACTACAAGATTGATTTGAGTGCGTTTGCGGCGCTTTCATGGCCTTTGCTCGATATTGTTTTGTTTCAGTGGCAAAGAGGGAGATCTTGGGCATCATGAACAAATGTATAGCAAAACCCAGAGAGAACAGGAAAGAGAACGGACCAGTTATCGGTAGGGTTTGTGATTTTCATATGTGTATTTAGAGATGAGGGAACCTGATCTGTTCTAATGTGTGTGAGTTTTATTTTATCCTTTAGAGACTGTGCGGGTGCCTGTGTCTAGAAGAGCTCGATTCGTTGGTCCAGGAGGCTACAACCTCCGCAAGCTTCAAGCTCAAACAGGTAACATTCAAGTATTTAGGTCCAAATAGCTTTGCGATGTGGGATGAATCAAGCTTCACAGGTTTTTAAAAAATTCTCACAATGCCACACAATGCAAGCTTTTGGTCAGCATTTAAGCATGTTTTTTGCTTTCCTTCTTCAGGTGTGACGATAAGTCAGGTGGACGAGGAGACTTTCTCTGTGTTCGCTCCAACGCCAGGAGCCATGCAGGAAGCCCAGGAGTTCATCAAGGAGATCTGCAAAGACGACGTGAGTCTCTTTTACTCTTCAATACTATGTCTCATAACGAAATGTCACAAAAGGTACAGTTTATGTTTCAAAGTTTTAAATTCATGGCTGCACCTATAGGTAGTTAGTTCATTGACTAATCTTGTATCAGAACATGAATGTACAAAAATAACTGCACATACGTTACACACATTCATACAATACATGCATGAACATGTGTGGATATATTTGTTTTGTTTTGCAGCAAGACCAGCAGCTGGAGTTTGGTGCTGTCTACACTGCCACCATCACAGAAATAAGGTAATTTAATACAAACTATATTTGACGATGGTTACTCATCTATGGATAAATAAGACTGTTTTGCATTTGTAAAGCTCCTAATGGCTTTTCTTCCTCTCCTGCAGGGACATCGGTGTGATGGTGAAACTTTATCCCAACATGAGTGCTGTCCTGCTGCACAACTCACAGCTGGACCACAAACGGGTGAGTACATTTGTAAACTCTTTCCATTTGTGTCCATGTTTCTATGAGAGTAATATTCATTTATGTTTGGGAATAAATAGTAGAATCACTCTTTGAAGGTCAATACTTTTTATTTTCTTCTTTTTAGATCAAACATCCAAGTGCTTTGGGTTTGGAGGTGGGACAGGAGATACAGGTACGTGTCAGTTACTGCAGTTAAAGCAGCCTCCTGTGTTCAGATTCTGGGCTGTGTGTCTGTAAATGCTGTTTTTGCGAACAGGTCAAATACTTTGGACGTGACCCAACAGACGGCAGAATGAGGCTTTCGCGGAAAGTGCTCCAGTCTCCTGCTGCAATCATGGTCAAGACGCTGAGTGAGAAACAAAGCATCTCCATAGGTGTAAGCGACAAACACGCGACCAGCGCTGAGTCATGACACCACAGCCGGACTTCTGGATTTTCTGCCAAAGTGGACTGAATGAAACTGAGCAGATTTTTCTACAAAAATGAGAGTGCTGTTGAGAAATGGACCAGATCTTGGAGCGAACTGCATGAGAGTTGCACATAGAGAAGGTTGGTCAGCTGCTGAGTATGACGGAGATGCAGACAGCTGATATTTGTGCCTCAGAGAATAGCGGATACTAACAAGAAGGAGGCGAAGATCTGCAAAAATGATAAAGTTGTTGCATTTTTAAGTACGCCCTTTATCATTGTTTTGTTTTCTTATTGCATCAAGCAGTTGCAGGACACTTCATTGTTTAGTTTTCCTCATTAAATGCACAACAACGGACTCGCTATTCACATCAGTGATAGTAACGCTGCCTCATGTAGCGCTGCACTTCCATGTTTGTTATGTACTGTAGCAGTGTGTCCCCTCAAAACGTCAAAGAGAAAACTGTGAGAAGCGTACAAGAGATGTGTTATTTTCTTAATATCCACTTTTATGTTGTGTCACATTAGTTGTTAATCTGATTCATCTGTAATGAAAACAATTACTGATTATGTTGTCATGGGAAATGCACAAACAGTTCCAGAGACAAAAGCAGGGACACGTAAAGAACAAAATGTTCCTGAAGGTCATCAAGGAATTAAACGGATTGTACTTACAGCTATAAACCAGTACCACAGTAGTCATAATTAAAGTAAAATTGGGTTTTATAAAACAGAGGTGACGGGAGAAGATGAAGAAAAAAGGAAAAACGGGAAAAGTTGAGAATGAATTTATTGTAAAACAATAAATTAAAGTTGGATTCAATTGTTCTGTTTTTTATTTGTTGGAGGAATACTTTTAGCAAACTCACAGCTCCACACTTTTTTTTTTTGAAGTATAAACACACCTTCCACCCACCTTGAAGCAAACTGAGTCCATTCACTATTAATCATAAGTGAAACGCCCGTTTTCATAAAGCTGATCTAAGTCCTCCTCGTCTCATTGGCTCACCACTCACGTTCCGAGAAAACAGATACTTGGCATTAGCCGGCTTCAGCCAGTGAGCTCCTAAATGCTCTGATATGTACAGCTGTGAGGCTCAGAAAACTGGGAAACACTCATGTCAGGAGCTGCTGCGTCACATTTCCCCTGAATCTGGAGCTCTGGTGATGGTTGATGTGATAAACTGTGGATGTGCTTTTTATGTTTGAGGTACTGCATTTACTTTTGGAGCCCTCAGTCTCAATCCTTACCCTATAAAACACCAAATATGATTAAAAATATATGCACAAAGGTAAATTTTGCTCACATATACATTTGTTGGGTGTTTTCTGCGCAATACAACAGTGATGCTGTGGAACACTGCAACCAGCTGATGGGGATTGTTGCTGAGTTTTACTGCAGCATCGAGTGTTATTTCCCAGCTGGAGGACATGCTCTGTATTTGTACTAATAAACATGCCTGGTGTCGAAATCATTTTGGAATTTGTTTGGCTTCGGTCCACTTGGCAAATATTGTAAAATGCTTAGTGCAAAACTAAGACTAATGTCTATGTAGTGGTGTTGTTAGGCTTGGAAATCTGAGGTGAAAGCCCCAAATAACTTATAATTGACCCGGTTAAAATCTCATAATTACTCAGTACAGAAAGGCAGCAGAAAGCGATTTTTATTATATCATCCTCTGACACAGAAATTAAAAAAAACACCCACTAAAAATAGAACCAGAGCTAAAAAGACAAGCAAATAACTACCAAAAAACACCTTAACACCTAACTTATACAACTATAGCTCACATCACATGTTATACAGCAACAGTGAAGTCAACTCATGGATCAAGAACACTGCTCAGTGCAACATTAACTTTTGTTTTGTAGCCAGCAGACATGGTCTGAAAATAATTAGTTTAATATTTGAGGTATTGCATTATGGGACTTTAAGGGTGAACTTTTGCTCCTCACGAGTACCGACATCTCTTCTCCTGGACTGTTCAAATAGTAAGTCAAACAAATTACTAGAATAAAATAGAATAGAATAGAATAGAATAGAACTTTATTGATCCCTTTGGTGCAAACCTCAGGGAAATTGTTGTACTACAAAAACAACAACACAACATCAGCAACAATAGTAACAACAATAATAATACTATTAAATAAGTGTATAACTAAAAAATTAAAATGAACATTAACAACCTAAAAGTTAAAACAGTTTGACTCCAGCTGGTAGCCGAATGTTGACAAGTCTGGTCTGGCTCAGTTGTTCTCAAGCGTTTTTGTGACAGGGCACGCCTTTACTTAGGATTATAGCTGCAAATCATCATAAATAAGACTAATTCCAATGCACACAGTTTGAGAACCACTTGTCTGGCCTGCACTCCCTGTGATGTTCATGTGGAACCTGGGATAAGCGTACAAGAAACCTGGGATGACCTAGTCTGGAGCACAGCGTCTGACATTTTGTTTCATTCATTTTACTCAGAAGTTTTTACTCCGATACCCTAAAAATGGTGCAATTGTCAAGTCAAGTCTTTGTTATTTATATCTACATTAGAAGTAACAGCTCTGAAGTGCTCTTCAATGGAAAGTTAATATTGCCGTCACCTATTAACCCAACCACTTTAAATACTGAGGTGAGGACCCTACAGTGTTCCTGAATTCTGGAAGTCTGAATTTATCTAAGAAATGCAAATATTAAGGATTAAAACCCTACAAACTATTCATAAAATACAACTTTACCTGACTGTAATATATATTGAGGCTAAGGCTCTACAGTAGTATTAATTACGTAGGTTAACTTCTCTAAAGTATTATTGACAGTGTGAGTTTACTGGAGACATTTTTAAATTAGGGAATAAAACTCTTTAAAAAAATGTGCAAAATATGACTTTATCTGACTGTAATAAATATTAGGACTAAGATCCTGCAGTATTATTAGTTACTGAGATCAACTTGACTAAATTAGATCTACAACTAAAGTTATGACCCCACAAAAACATTCGTGAAATATAGTTTGTGAAATATACATATTTATAAATAACAATATACATATATAAACCCAACAATCCATGGATTTGGAGTTAAAGGTACAAAAATATATGTGACATAACCCAATGAAAACTCAATATACCCAATATATATTGTAATAATATATATTGTACACACATATATTTCACGATCCTAACAATGCCTCTGTGTTTAGGAATTAATTCCTTCATACATTCATAGAAATAAATTAAAGACGAGTGATTGTTACAATAGGTGACATTAGCTTTCGTAACAGCTGTGAATTAAGACACAGCTAAAAGAAAAAGCATCTGTTTTGTCCACATGTGCTCACCATGTCTGCATCTGCAGGTAGCTGCTGCTGCTGTTACTGTTGTCGCCCACAGGGGGCGCGCTGAGCTGCTGGCGCTGCGGCTCTGCCATTGGGTGATTCCGCCGGAGGAGGAGACCCCGCGGCAGTTAGCGCTTGATTGACGTCGAAGAAGAAAAAGAACACAAGATCGGATTACAAGATGGCGGTCTGTGGACGTTAAGCACGGAGGCCGTTGGAGTTGTTGTGTTCTCTGTGAATTTTACTGTGTGATACCAGGCCTCCTGTTGAGTTGGTTCACGTCGTAAACGTAATATGCGTATGAAATAGCAACAAATACATTTTACCGCTACTGTGAACTTCACTTAGACGCGCATGTTTTGTAACATGCAGGTGGAAACAAAGTTAACAGGTCGAGGAAAACACTAGACGGGGTGAGCTGATAGCTTGTTAGCAGCCAGCTAGCCTGCTAGCTCCGACTCGGTTAACCATGTCGGACACTCGGCGGCGAGTGAAAGTGTATACGCTGAATGAAGACCGGCAGTGGGACGATCGGGGCACCGGACATGTTTCGTCTACATTTGTTGAACGACTGAAGGGAATATCATTATTAGTTCGGGCCGAATCGGACGGTAAGTTCCCCGTTAACGTAGCCGCGGTAGCAATACGTCGGCTAGCGTTAGCATGCTAACTCCTGGTTGTTCGGACACAACGCTTCGATTGGCCACTATGTATATTTGGTTAATTTTTTGGAGTCATTTTTGTTGCCCCGTTTGGAGCCAGTGGTTTCAGACTCTTGGAACAATCGGCATTTGACTCGTTTCTTTTTAAAAGGCAAATCGGTGAATAGCTGGTGCTAGCATGCTCGTTAGTCTAACAGACGACGTGATCTCCGTAGCATGGGGGCCCTCAAAGTCTGGTCCTAGACGTACAAACTTGGTAATGCTCGTTGGCATAAACCGCTACGTGTTCACATACAGATGACAAATGAATAGTGTTTTAATAGGCTAGCGTTAAATACCATGCCCTCAGGTGGTAAATTTTTAACTTTCTGTCTTTGAAACAGTTTTTTATTCAGCTTTTGACATTATCAGTTTACCCTAGCTGCTTACTTTTAGGCAGATAGTTGACCTTATCTTTTAATAATTGGTTAAAATTTGTTCATTATTCTCACTAATTTTAAAATTTAAGTAACTCTTATCTCTGTCTTTCAGGATCACTACTATTGGAGTCAAAGATAAGCCCGAATACTGCATATCAGAAACAACAGGTATGTATTGATCATCTGATTCTGGTTTAGCTACGAAAAGCTTATCCATGCATACCTGGTTGGTCAGATTATCAGTATCGTCTAAATTTGAGTGTCAGATGCTAAACATAATTATGCTAGTTTGGGACTTGTTGCTTGAGCAGACAGAAATTCAGTGTCTGGTTTGATAGTGAACCTAGAAGTAAGCGATCGGCAGGCCACACAATCAGTAATTACAGCTTGGATAGCTTCTCATAATTTTAGCAATCAGTGGTTACTAGAATAGAATAGAATAGAATAGAACTTTATTGATCCCTTTGGTGCAAACCTCAGGGAAATTGTTGAACTGGGCTGCATGTTTCCCAATGCACATGTGGACAAAGCAATCACATTCATTTTAAAGTAGAGCCGGAACAATTCATCAAATAAACAAGTAATTGTCAACTATCAGGTCAATAGCTAGTTTTTAGTTTTATCATTCAATCAGTTCGAATAATTTTTTTGAGAAATTTGAGTTGAAGTTCTCTGATCGTAGCTTCTTAAATTTGAGTATTTTATAGTTACTTTACTCCTTTGTGACAGTAAAATATTATTTTAGGCAGAACGAGACATTTTACGACACTGTCTTAGTTCTTGGGAAACAGTGACATTTTCCATAGATAGATCAAACAGCTAATCAGTAAATTGAGAAAATGATCCATAAAATAATTGACAATAAAAGTAGACGGTAGTTGTAGCCCAATTTTTAAAAAGTTCTTTCTAGGCTTATACATTTACACACATAAGAGAGCTTGTACGTATTCAGCTGAGATGTAAGAGTTCACCATTTTGAAACGGGTTTTGTGGACGTAAGCTTTGTAACATAGTCACATGAGTGCATCCTGTGAATGTGGTAAGTGTCTCTTTTGGTAAAGTTCGATGTTTCTTTCTCTCCTGTCCAGGACACACTGATCGTCTGGTCAGAAGCAGATAACTATGACCTTGCCCTGAGTTTCCAGGAAAAGGCTGGCTGTGATGAGATCTGGGAGAAGATCTGCCAGGTAATGTCAAAGCACCAAACTGGACGAATGCTGGTTTGTCTGTTGACGCTTTATTGACCCTACTACTAGAGGCAAGATTCAGTACACCAGTCCTTGTGTTTTAATTCCTCATTTAGTAACCACCAATCACTTATTGTTCAGGTCCAAGGCAAGGACCCTGCTCTGGACATCACCCAGGACCCGATCGATGAGTCCGAGGAGGAGCGCTTTGAGGAGATTCAAGAGACGAGCCACCTGGTGGAGCTCCCTCCTTGCGAGCTCAGCCGACTGGAGGAAATTGCAGACCTGGTTACCTCTGTGCTGTCTTCGCCCATCCGTAGGGAAAAACTTGCCCTGGCCCTGATGAGCGAGGGCTACATCAAGAAACTTCTGGGTCTCTTCAGAGTATGTGAGGACCTGGACAACAGGGAAGGCCTACATCACCTCTATGAGATTGTCCGAGGTGTCTTGTTCCTTAATAAAGCGGCCCTCTTTGAGGTGATGTTCTCTGACGACTGTATCATGGATGTGGTTGGTTGCCTTGAGTATGACCCAGCACTGGTTCAGCCTAAACGACACAGAGAATTCTTGACCAAGACAGCAAAGTTTAAGGAGGTGATCCCAATCACAGACTCCGAGCTGCGGCAGAAAATCCACCAGACCTACCGTGTTCAGTACATCCAGGACATCATCCTGCCCACGCCGTCAGTCTTTGAGGAGAACTTCCTGTCCACACTCACATCCTTCATCTTTTTCAACAAGGTGGAGATTGTCAGTATGTTGCAGGTAAGGATCCAAGGCACAAACTAACGCCTAATGGTTTTATCCTGGAACAAATTCCAGTGTGAGTTGAATGAGCTGCAGTTGCCATTTTTGCTTACACAAAATTTTCTTTCATGTAGTGTGTTTAGTGGTTTATTCTTCACTGTGTTGCAGCTGATTGACATTTTCCACTGATAAATTGCCTTTCCAATGATTCATTTCAAAAGGATCGCTCACACTTGATGCTAAACGGTTGACTGAATTTCCATCACTAAATGTATTGATTTCTAATGAGTGTGTCAGATCATTTAGAATCTCAGCTGGAACATTTAAACAGGTTGGAATGGATAAGGATTGTGATGTATTAACAATATATATGATCGCTCAGAAGACTTCATATTTTTTGTCCACAAGTGAAAGATAATTGTGTCAAGTTTTGTGCTGTGATGATCGACCAATTAAAGACAGTTTTGGAAGTCAGTCAGCAAATATGTTGAGGGCTGTTGTAATGCTTGTAAGCTGATTTTAATGTGACGGTGTGAGGCATGTGTTACGGACAATAACTTGTACGAGAAAATCATTTCTATGATGTAAACTTTATTGTACAGTTCTTCCATTTCACAATCAAGTGTTTGGTATTGATTGTAATTCTCTGTATCTGTGTCTCTGAAAGTCATACGCTGCTGTGGGTTATTGGAATAGTTATTTTTTTTACTCTTGTTGCAGTAAAATTTGGGTACACACTGTCCAGGATTAGGTTTCCCATTCTTCTTTTGTTTCTATTTTTATTTATGTCTTTTTATTTATTTTTTGTTGTGTTGATTTCTTAACCCTGTTCTGACTGTGCCGCAGGAGGATGAGAAGTTTCTTACGGAGGTCTTTGCACAGCTCACAGACGAAGCCACAGAGGACAGTAAAAGGAGAGAGCTCGTAAGTCAAACAGTTATTAAATCTCTAAGGCAGGTTTTCTGTGAATGGTTTTTGTGGTAAAATGTTGAAACCTAAATGCTGAGTAGTTTTGTAAAGTTGACTTAGTGCTCAGTATGAATGATGTTAGATGGAACGGTTCTGTTCTATGTAATGTCGTTCCTTTTTACACAGAGTTACTGATTTTTCTGCAGGGATTCCCATAAAGATTTTTATCTGAATCACCACTTTGTCTATTAGCTTGTCTTTAGGACAGAACAACTAATCAATTTAAAGTCCAAATCTTTATTTGAAACGATGAAATTAGGAAATGGCACGGGCTGTAATTGAGGACAAGCATTATGCTACTCGTCTGACCCTGTATTTCAATTGTTGTCAGTGTTTTTCCAAATTCATGCCATCCTCCTTGTGTGACGGTCACGCTTTTGATGGTATCATGTGGTAATACTCCGTCACATGTTTTATATCTCTTGCACAGTGAATATTGAAGTGAAGCAAGAAATATAGATGTATTTAACCCTGCTTGTGCTGCACTTCGTTCGTCATGGAACTTAATTTAAAATCGTAGAAAATAATTTGTGAATTCTGTGAAACTTAAAATTCCTCACGCCCTGTAATGGTAAAAACTCCATGTGAATCAGTGCTTAGGGATAGTGTTTTTTGTCTTGCTTTAATGTACCACGTGCTGAACAACCATTACATGTGTTGTTTTTTCCTCTCTGCTCCTCAGGTGAACTTTGTCAAGGAGTTCTGTGCTTTTTCACAAACGTTGCAGCCACAAAACAGGGACGCTTTCTTCAAAACCCTGGCAAATCTAGGCATCTTACCTGCTCTTGAAATAGTCATGGTAGGTCCCGGGCATTACCTGAATGTGGATATCTTAAGTTGTTGGCAATAAAAACTATTTTGCTTTAATAAACTGGTAAACATACGTGTGTAGAATTACCTCTATGTCTGTGCCATCAACTTCTGTTTACCTTCTGCTCAGGGAATGGATGACCTGCAGGTGAGGGCCGCAGCTACCGACATCTTCTCTTACCTGGTGGAATTCAGCCCCTCCATGGTCAGGGAGTTTGTCATGCAAGAGCCACAGCAGACGGACGACGTAAGCATTGAAACCTTTCTTTGAACAGACATGTTTACACTTTTAAGACGCCAGGCTGTAGCTTGTCAGCCCAGGACTGCATTTAGGTGTTTCTACATGTTCTATAAAGTTGTTTTCTGCATCGTATTTTTATGACAAAATTGTTGGTTTATACGTGCGCTATACACAAAAGGCGTTTAGAGCAGTCCTCCTCCCTAAACACTTAATAATTGACTCTAAATATCACATTGGCTTGGTTGTCCTGCAAAGCTGCGAGCTGTTTGCTTCACTCCAGTCTGAGATACAGTGGTGTACAATGTCAAATACAAAGTGGTTGGACTGAAGCCCACAACCGGCAGAGAAACAATAGCTGTGGCAGGAATCGTTTTTTAAGAACATTTTGAAATACCGCTTGAGAAAAAGTTGGCACGAGGTGGTTTTTGCCTTTTTAATACACCTCACGGGTTAACGACAGTGTGATAGTCCAGAAGGATTAGTTTTGGCCCCTATGAGCTACATTTAGGAACAATCAAACAGTAATTCACCTGTGAGGGTTTTTTTTAAATTTGCATGAAATAACCCCATCATCTGACAGTTTGGGGTCACTTGACAATTCACCCAGGCACTGGTCGAAGTTATTTTTAGGACCCAAACATGCTTAGCTTGGTGTTTACTACAGACCCATTGTGATGGTGTTTCCTGCTCAGTAGTAAATGTCATTAGCTGTTGCAAAACAACTTGCAAAACAACAATGCTGTTCTCCCCACTGAGACGTGATGTATTCAACTTTGTTTAAGTGCAGCACTCAGAGTACTGCAGCGTGTTGCTATCGTCACCATCAACACTCTCCATCGCTGAGAGACGGCGTGCTGAACTTGTTCAAAGTCTAGTTGATCAAACATGTTTTGTTGAAATCCTTTTAGTCTGAAAACACCCTTGGATCAAAACTGCATTGTGCTGACTCTCCTGTGTTTATGTTTGTGTGTTCCAGGATGTTCTGCTGATAAATGTTGTGATCAAGCAGATGATCTGTGACTCTGACCCAGAGTTAGGAGGGGCTGTCCAGCTGATGGGTCTGCTCAGGACACTCATTGACCCCGAGAACATGCTGGCGTCCACCAATGTAAGCTCAACTATCTACGTTTGTGCCGATTGCCCAAAGACAGAAATGCAATTTTTTTTCAACAATCATTATCGATCGGCATAAACAACTCTGTGTCTTGATTTAAAGCAGTGCAGATTGACAAAATCCTACATCCCTCTGTCCACATGTTGCTGCTACTGCTCAAGTGAACACTTGTCTCTTTTACCCTCTCCACTGATTTTATATGAAGGGACTACTATTGCAGGACCGGCTTGTCTCTATGGCTGATGCTTGAACTTCACTTGTAAATAGAAGTGTGGTTGATTTGTCTTTAGAGAAATAGAGCAGAACCAGTTTTAGTGGGTGGAACACTCAAAAAAAAGGACTAAGCCATAAATCTCTTGTCAGGAAAATGAAGCTTTTGCTGCACACCAACTGCTATCTTGTGATCACTACGTACTAGATTGAGCCAACATTCAGGCTAATGACAGCAGCTTTACTTTGACAGTTACATCTTCAACTCTTCCCAGTCCAACTTGCTGTGTTGCTATTAACTTTGAGTGGTGGATATTTTCAGCTGTTGGACTGATAACTCATGTTGTATTTGTCCGATGTTAAAACATGAACAGCACTCGTCACAGTTTCTTTACATGTTTTCTTTTAGAAAACTGAGAAAACAGAGTTCCTGAGTTTCTTCTACAAGTACTGCATGCATGTCCTGACTGCTCCTCTGCTGGCCAACACAGCACATGACAAGAGCTCAAAAGGTGAGCAGGAGAAGCTGATCCAGAATATTTCACATTTTAAGATCTATATAGAGAATATCACTCATTATTCCTTGTCATGTTATTTCAGATCTACAGGAAGGATCCACAAAGATCAACCCAGTCTGTCCAGGTGAGTGCTGTTTACCTCATTAACCGTTTACTGTCAGACATTGGGAATTATTCTTGTAACAGACGGTAACATTTGCATTCACATGTAGTTTTTGTGGTGTGTTTATTTCACCTGCACCGACCAAAGAGGGTTAAATAAATGATTAGCATCTCTTTAAATTGATTTAAATGATGCAGTGGCTACAGTTTTCTGTGTCAGATGAATAAATTGCCAGACTTTCCAAAGTATTTCAAACAAATGTGATTAGGTGTTAACAAATGATTACAAGATGTGGTGCGACTTTGTGGGATTGTACGGTTGTTAATTCAAATTACAAAGAACTATCTAGTTTGTATTTGGGGGAAGAAAGTCAGGATTATAAGGTGTCGTCTGCAACTTGAATGTGGATTTTGAACATGTTGCGCTGCCTGTTTGCGTTGTCCTGACGTGTAGTGGTTTTGTGTTTTTTTTATGTAGACAACTTCCAGACAGCTCAGCTGCTGGCGCTGATCCTGGAGCTTCTGACCTTTTGTGTGGAGCACCACACCTATCACATCAAGACCTACATCATGAACAAAGACCTGCTCAGGAGAGTGCTGGTGCTCATGAACTCTAAGCACACCTTTCTTGCTCTTTGTAAGTTCTCACATGTGCAAAGGTTCTCTCACACACCTTATTGTTTTGTCTCTCCTTATCAGAATGTTCCGTCAGACGTTTTCCTGCTTTGTGATTGAACGTTAACTAAGTATAGAATGATTTTTTAATGTACCTGAACACTGGATTGGTGAACATATAATGAATGTTTAAGCTTGTTTTTCTTTGGAGAGCAAATGCATAATTTTTACACAGTCGCTGTCTGTTTCTGTCCAAGGTGCCCTGCGTTTCATGCGCAGAATCATCGGTCTGAAAGATGAGTACTACAACCGCTACATCATCAAAGGGAACCTGTTTGAGCCTGTCATTAATGCCCTGCTGGACAACGGCACCCGATACAACCTCCTCAACTCAGCCATCATAGAGCTCTTTGAGTTCATTAAAGTGGTATGTAAACTCCACCTTAATGAAAAGAAAGTGTTCATTTATGTTTCCACAACGTGAATTTTTTGGGTTTTCTCATCGTGTCTTCTGTTTCCAGGAGGACATAAAATCTCTCATCGCTCACATTGTGGATAACTTCTACAAAGCACTTGAATCCATTGAGTATGTCCAGACTTTCAAGGGCCTGAAAGGTCGATACGAGCAGGAAAAAGACCGGCAGAGTCAGAGACTGAACAGGTCAGCCTCCTGATTGCACACAATGGAATAGTCGAATACATTTAGGGTCTTTGTGGTAAAGATTTTATGATGTATTCTCAGCTTCCACTGCTTTGAAGGAAACCGTTTTGTCATACTTTTGTAGATAGCTGTATTTATCGAAGCCATTTTTTGTCCTCCCGTAGATATCGCAGAGATGCGCGGTCGTTGGACGAGGACGAAGAGCTGTGGTTCAACGACGACGACGATGACGACGACGGAGAGGCGGTGGAGAAGAGGATGGAGGACGACTTCTCGGATAGCTACGGCAAATACATGGAAGCCAAAAAAGGTAAGCTGTATTCATGTTGTTGCATCGATTTTCCCAGAATTTGTTTTTCCAGATTGCAACATGATCACATTGTGTTACCGCAGGAGCTGCCAACGGAGCTAATGGTGCCAACAACAATGGAAAAGCCGCTGCGATCCCACCTGCCTCACCGGCCGTCACTCCAAACAACAGCTCAACTTCGTCCGTCAAAACAGTTGCTCTTCCTGCCACACCAGTCGTCAAGGTAACGTCTATAAATAGTGGTGTGAAGTTGAGATCCCAGTCCAGGAACACTTTAACATCACTGCCTCTGTCAAACTGTTTCATAGCATGTTTCTAAAGTTATCTCGACAACACTACAGACAGAAGTTAGCAACAACACAAATGCCCTACGCATCACGTTTGATCCCAGACTGATAAGTAAGAATAAGTTAGACTGCTCCCCTGCAAACCTTCCCCATGTAGAAAAGCCACCTGATCACGATGGACAGACAGCAGGTTCATCTTACGTGTGCTTGGTCTTGATCTTTTTGTCGTTTCTCTCAGACCGCTCTGGTTGGTTTGGTCGACTACCCCGACGATGAGGATGAAGAGGAAGAAGACGAGGAGGAAGAGCAGTCTCCAAGGAAGCGGCCCCGTTTGAGCTCATAAGGCTACTAGTCCTCTGTTTGGTCGTGGTGGACGGACACGGAGTCCCTACCATCCCCCCTCCTCTGGTCGTCTCATTGGTCCTCGGCCTGCCTGTGCCACCTGTCAGTCTCACTGAGGAGACGGGCAAAGACGAGCTCCACCTCACTCAGTCCCTCCAGATCGCTGCTCCTCTTTTCTCCCTCTGCGGAAGGAGACGGAGAGCTTCACCTTTTGGAAAGAAAGGCAGATCAATCCCCTCCTTCAGCCTGTTGTTTTTCTTTCCCTTCTACCTCCTCAAGGAGATCCGCAAATCTCCTCTCTCGCCCCTGAGGAGAACCTCACTGATCCTTTGCAAACTCCTCCCTTCTCTCCTCGTTCTCCCTTCTTCCTGAACTACTTCCTCCTCCTCTTCCTCCTCACCCTCCATCCTGCACACCAACCAGAGGCTGCGGTGGAAGTCCCAGTGCCAAGACGGTTCTCAGCTCTACCGTGTCGCTGTTGCAACGGTAGCAAGGAAGCCGCGGTACTCCAGCGGCCCAGAACCCCCCCTCCTCCACCCTCACACGTTCTCATTCGAACTCTCCCCTCCATCCATCTCGAACCCGAACCAATGAGCTCCAGAGACAGAGGAAGCCAGAACACAACCAGCCAGTGTACGAACTGTTCAGCAGGCCAGTCAGGCTAGCAGGACTAGCCGTCATAGTTATAGAAAGCTTGACTGGCTGAAGCCGTGTGTGTGTGCGTGTGCGCGCCGCCGCCGCCGCCCTGCCACAGAACTACTTACTTTTGTCGGGGATAGAGGGATCTAGGCAACATAGAAAAATTAAAACAAAAAAAAAAAAATTTGAGAGGCAAGGGAGCTGACGAATCGAACCAGAATGAAAACTCAGCAGTAACGACGCTTAGATCCAGAGGAGCAGGACTCGAAGCCTACAAAAGCCATGGCGTCAGTTTGGTCGAGGCACACGCAAAACACAACACAGCGTCTCACACACAGGACTGCGTTAGTCAGGAATCCTGTATTTCATGACTTTGTTAAAAAGTACTGTACAGATGTTTTTGTTTTTTTTTTTTCTTCTCTCTTTTCTTTTCTTTTTAATCATTTGCCCCTGATGTGATTTTGAAAGGGGAGCGAGACACCTACCTGCCTGTGTATTGTTTTTGTTGTTGTTGCACAAAAAGGTGGGGGTCACTGTTCACCCTTTCAGTCCAGCTCATTTGATTCAATGTAAAATGCAGAGAAGTCGCAGATGCTGGTTTTAAAAAAAATAACATATTAAAACTGCAGTAAAGTCATTTTTGCAGCCAACATTTGGAGGATGTCTGGAGTTTTGTATTTTAGTCGGATTTAGCGGCCTCGTTATCATCATCATCGCCGTCATCGTTTTGGCAAACCTGAGCTGCTGGGTGTGTTCAGAGTAGGACTAGCGCACACTTTGGGAGGTTTCAAGTCTCGACACCCTCCTCTCAGACAGATCTCAGGTCCAGAGGCTGATTTGCATCAGAAACAAGAAAGAAGGAGCCCACCTTGTTTGTACACGGTAGCACTGTCAGCTGGTGGAAAAATCCCATTTCTTGCTAGGTGGCGACGGGTTTTAGGGAGTCGAGGTGCCCGGTTTGAAGGTCCAGGATGTTCAGCACCAGTTGGTCCGCTTGAGATCAACGTAGTCCCACAATTTCTGGCTTATTTCAAGTTTTCTTTGGCCTATCCATTAAAAACTCAAGTTGAAGGAAAACCTTTATTATTTTTTTTTTGTTACAGTTTTTAATTGAATGAATGGATGAGCTGTTTTTATTAGTTACGATAAAGATGATTTAACCCCGCAGTTGATGCAGTGCAGGTTTTGAATCAAAACACAACGTCAGAAGGCAAGCGGGGACGTTACAGTGTCGGGTTGGAACATTTCTCATGTTGTATCTTCTCTCCTGGTCTCACCACAAGCACACTGACAGGCAGATGAAGGGAATCGAAACTTGCTAAAAAAAAGAAAAATGCTAGATCTATCTTTCAGGGTAGGAGCACAAGTAAAATTATTGTTGCCAATGTGCTTTTCAGGAGTTCAGCCGCACCCGAGCAGTGAAATCTGTCTTTCCTCCTGTCTGTTAGCATCACCCAACAATATGACTGTTTCTGCTCTCCCTTGATGAATTTGTACCAAGTGCATTTACTACCACTATCCATTCTTAACATTTGTATGAATTTATTTGATAAGTTTTGAAATTAAATGTGACCCTGACATTGAACTTGTGAATCTAGCTTTGTCTTAACAGTTCACCGATTTGGCAATTGGAGCGACGAAACGTATGAAAACGATTCCTTTGAGTGGATGTATTTGATCCGATTTGAAAGTTGACTCGTGAGCAATCTAATTTTCTACTTGAGGTTGCACTTTTTGGTAAGTTACTCATGCTGTGTTGCGAATACATCCGCGAACATGCATCACAGCTGGTTTTATAAATACAAACTAAGAGAAGATCAGTCTGAGGCCTCAAAGCATCTGTTAACAAACTTCACAGCATTCATTCACTCAGGCCGGAGTCCAGCTCGTTTCCTATAAAATGTGGTTTATTAAACAGCATACATGAGAACAATATTACATAGAAACTGGTGCATCCTGACTGCTTAAAGTGAAGACTCCAGATTGGGTTGAAGATAAATACTGCACTCTCTTCTCTTGGCCCCTTTATGAACACGTGACGTTCATCTTGACAACTTCCACACCATTTTTTTGTAACTAGCTTGAGCTGCTATAGTGTGAACGATGTACTCGCTTCCCTTTGGAAACGCTAACAATGGTGGAAAATAAGACTGTCCTGCTAATAGTCTCTCCCAATTAAGTCTTATGTCACCATTACTGCTTAACTCAGAGTCTGGCTCATCACACAGCGCATTTAGAACATCTCTGAGCGTTCTCTACGTAGAAACGAAGCTGTAACCGTGTCCAAAATCACACTCCTCCTCTTCCTCCTCCCTGTGTAATGTAATAGTTGACTTAAGCTGTAGTGTTGCATAATAATAGTTTTCACATTTAGTCGAGGTGAAGCATCGCTGTGACATTTCCAGGGCAACAAACCTCCATGATCAATAAATCTGCACATTATTTTCTCAATCTATTGGCTATAAAATGCAAGAGAACTAAAAAGTGCTGGTCGTATGGCTTATTTGATTTGAACAACAGTGCAAGATTTAAATACATCTTGTGTACTTTAGGAGGTATTTTTGCTTGAAAAAAAAAAACAAAAAACACATTAGCATTTATTTGTCTGTTGAGGGCACTGAACTGCCTGTAAATTGTACAGTTTGGAGTCTACAAAATTTTAATTGTAAGTAAATGCGTTGCACTTAAATAAGACGTGATTTTGGACACAGCCCAGGTTCGTCTCGTAACAATAACTGACAGCTATTGGCAGCATATTGCCTGACTGGCCCGTGTGCTTTTCAGCTGCGCGTGACGTTTTCTTAACTTTCTCAGTCCAATGCCGCTACCTAACAGATCCTTAAATACGTGAGTGGCGTGTTACGAGTAGAGACTGTCATATACTGGCATAGTTAAAAAAAAAACAAACAAGAAGATGCACCTTTTTGCTCTTTAAACAGCAACGAAAAGAACTCTAAAGAAGGAAGATCTCGTAATTTTCGTGACTCTTTGGAAAAACAAAACCCCCGACCTGTGCTCTGCAAAGTGAATTATGGGGCAGTGTAAAAGGAAGCCTCGTGTTTGTTTACCAGAGTGACGGAGATAGGATGGATACAGACGAGAATATTGCATTCGGAGGGGAAGTTATTTCTTGATGACTTCCTCTTTCAGCTTGTCAGCCAGGTGTTTTCTCTTCTGGAGCTTCTTCCGCTCCTCAGCAGATATCTCCTGTGTAAAGACAGCAGAACAGGCAGCGGGGTTAATAATCACCAGCGGTGGATTCGGATGAGGCGCCGAGGGAGTGAAAAAGCAGCAGGAAAACACAACCAAGCGCATACAAGCGAAGCAGCTAGGACTAGAAACAGGGCTGTGCTACACATGGATGTTCAATTATCTATAGACTTTATACATCTAGTGAGGGTTGGATGATGAATTTGAAGCCTTTCAGGAGACAAATATCTTTTCAGAGGTTGCAACTGAGACCATATTTCCTTCAGTTTGTGGCTAAAACAACAAAAAACGAACTCAGATGTAGGATTTCTAGTTCTAGGGGAGGAAAGCTACAGAGCACAACCAGATCCGCACACAAATTGTGAGTGAATACACGTGTTCACATCAGGCAGGAGCAGCTGATGCATCACCTTCTGTTTGGAGGAGTTAGAGTGTTGTGCTGGAGGAGCAGGAGCAGCAGGAGGAGCAGGAGGAGGAGCCGGGGAACAGGCCCCGTTCCTCCGAGGCTGCCCCACTGCCTCCTGACAGGCCACACCAGATCAGACAAAGGCAGCAGGAAACGGAAAACAAGAACCAAATGAATAAGTCGAGAGAAAGAAAAGTTAGAAGTAAAATATGGGTTAAAGAAAAGCAGGAGGAGTTAGGGATTAAATGAGAACTTAAAGATAAAAACATGATCGTAACAAAACTGTGGATGTTAATAAACTGTTGAGGTGCAGGATTACTGGGAGGTAGCTGGTGTTAAACTGAAGGAGGCGTAAGGGAGGAGGGACGTACCGGGGTGGTGGAGGGTGCTGGTGTGGGGCTGGTCGGTGCCTCCTCTGGTTTGGTTGGCTGCTTGGTTTTCTGCTGCTCTTTCCTCAGAGCGTGGAGCTTGTCTCGCTGCTGACGGAGGTATGCTGCCCTCTGCTGGAGCTGCTCCTGCTGGGACGCCGACAACTCCTGGAGGGGAGAGAGGGAGACCAGAGGAGGGGGTTCAACTCAGACCACTTAGAATCCTGAGCTCATTTTATAATGCTAAAAACGAAGGTACTGGACCAAATTACAGATCAAATTACTGCATCTCCACATGGTGCTCCAGCTGCAGTGTGTCAGACAGAAAAGCCCTGCAGAGGATAGTTAGAGGAGCTGAGAGGGACATCAGGGTTTCCCTCACCTCTGTCCAAGAACGTTTCCAGAGCGGCTGCAGGAGCAGGACGCTAAACATCGTCAGAGACTCCTCACACCCTCTCCATGAACTGTTTGAACTGCTGCCATCAGGTTTCCGGAGCATGAAAGGAAGAACCTCCAGACTGATCAACAGCTTCATGCCACAAGCTGTCAGAACGCTGAACTGCTGATCCGGACATGCAAACACTTGTTTATTTAAATTGCTTTAAGTTATTGGATCCTGAAGAAACGCTCTCTCATCCTGCCTGTACTGCTGTGTATGTACTGTGTGTGTGTACTTCTTATCACCCTCTGCCTGAAACACTCCCTCCTGAGAAGCCCAGTCGGCTCTCATTATTCAGCTGGCCTGATGAATGCGAGGTAATGTTGGTTACTACCACAACCCCTGATCTATGAGTGTGGGCAGGGAGACACATAGAAGCTCCATCAGACGCAGAAGCTCTGGTGGGGAAATAATGACAGATTGTGAAGCAGCTGTTTGTCTGAGGACGTGTCAGACTCGCCGCTGGGCAGGCACATGGTGACATAAATGAGTAACGTAAGAAAAAACCTAAAGTGTTTCAGAAGAGGAGCAGTGTGTTCAGCAGCAGGAGAGGAAAGCTCCCTTTGGCATGGACTTGGGGCTTTGAAAGTATGCAGACAGAAAAGCTGTACAACACTGAAGCCCTTACCAGACACAGGATCTGTAGTAATCTGTTTTTCGCAAAAAAGGTCATGATTCAGAATGTCGTCAAAACGTGTCAGGATGTA